AGTTAGAATTAACTAGACATTGTGCAAACGCCCATTAAAGTTAAAGTAGCTTTAATTTTTTTTTTTTTTTTAATATAAAACCATTTTCCTACTTACAAGACATATCGGATTTTTCTAGATTTTGAATGCGCTACACAGTGTTATGGTTACTTTGTCACATGCCGGTGTGCTCTAATAGCTAACCTCCACGAAAATTTTTTTCTTGTAGATTTTTTTTTTTTATTACCTAAGCCAATGAAAAGTCTTTTTGCACTGTATGGATTCTAGTCTATATTTTACGCTGGAAATATGATGACAAGTCAGCAAATTCTTCGCCTATTCTGTAGCTTGCAAAATAAATTTTAACTGTATACAAATTACTCATCATAAACATTTTGGAAACAATTTCACATTAATTAAAACTCAAGAATTTTTAGTTTAATTTATGTTAATAAACAATAAATTCACAGCTGTGTTTATGTAGCGTAACCGATGGCAACATGTATTGCTTGTGGCTAGTTATGGCGCCATTGTTATCTTTACTTAACTTTACGCTAAAATTATTCACACGACCATGGATAGATATGTAGATATGTAAGTACATGCATATATTAAATTACCGTAAAGTACCCGAAGCGCCTGAAAATATATTTTGTAAAATTCAGTCATCATCTACTTCAACTAATCGAAAAGTTGGAAATAAAACTGAAAACCGTAAAATACCTAGTATAGAATAAAAATTAAAATTTAAAACAAAATATCATTTTCTATTAGATAGTAATTTATTTTAAAAGCCAACTGCCAGCAACACATGACTAACTAAATTTATATTTATTTTTCTCTTTCTCTTCCTTTTGTTTGCTCTACTTCACCTTTTTCATGTAATTTTTCGCTGCTCGTACAAAACATCATCGCCCGTCAACTAAATATTGCGCGCATTCCGTCTACGCTGGAAATCCAAATGTTATCATTATTGTGTTACATGCATACATACAAAATATTTTACAATTTTGCTGCTAACTACAAAACAAAATGTGATAACAAAAATGAAACAAACAAAAATGTAAATCGCTGTAACTGATGCTGTCGCTGATATAAACACATATTTCATTGGGCCGTTGCCACTCAACACCAACGGCATACCGTCACCTCGGCACTTCACCACGACGATGATGACGATGACTTCGCTGGACACGATGACATCACTACCATGTCAACGCCGTGCAATGCAACCAACATCAACAATATAACAACGACCACTACATGTCTACGAAACACATACAACAAAAACAAAAAAAAAAAAAACACAATCATCCAACATTTTAACAATGCACCTTTCGCAACAAAATAATGAAATGTTTACGCTGCTACTCACTTATTTACGCGATTTCATTGTGTTGCCATGGCTATTGTTGCACTTGCTGCATTTCGTTGCGTTTACAGTGCCACCTGATATTCTTGATTATCCAACCAGCACCGATATGGTGATACGAGAAGGCTCCAATGTTACGTTGAAATGCGCAGCAGTTGGCTCACCAACGCCGACCATCACGTGGCGGCGCGAAGGAGGCGAACCCATACCACTGCCAAATAATTCAGAGGGTAAGTGAAAGGAGAAATATGTACATATTTACATATACATACAGGGTGTCCTAGACCAGCCGTTCAACCCCTCTAAAATGGAGGTATTATCCTATAAACTCGGAGCTGCTCTATCTTTTGGTAGTATCACCGACCGGAATTGGGTTAAACTGACCGGAAGTCCCCTTTGTTTTTTTTTAAACATATATGTTTTTACTACGGATTCGGATGCCGAGTATAAAAACACGTAGCTTTTGTTTGAAACTTTTTACGCGAAAGTGCCTTTTTCAACCACGAAATGACTTTCGAACTTCAAATTGTCCTGGACTGCTTGAATGAGTGGAAAATTTTTTGTTGGAAAACGAATAAAATATGAATTACAAAGTCGGGGATGCTCTATATTTTGGTCGTTTTTGACTGGAAGGTGGGTTAAACAGACCGGAAGTGCATTGTTTTAACCGGAAGCCCATTTTAGAAAAAAGCTTCCGACAAAAGTTATGTATTATTGTAGTCTCGAAATGGATTACTATACTCAAGTCAACTTGTCGACCTAACTGTAATGGCTTGTTTCCAGAGATATATACGTACATGGGAATACATATTTGTGTCGTACCTCCTTATAAGCTCGTTTAAGGTTTTTCTGCACTTCATGACTATCCCCGATTTGGATTTGTGACACTCGAGCATCTTAGTAGTTGAATGAAGAGAGGGAAATTGATCAGGCCCATTGGATCTTCCTAATTGGTCTAAGTTCAGTTAACAACGCAGCAGTGATCTTAATTAGACCTCTTTGGAGGTTGAGGAACCCCATTTTCCGTCGTCAAACCCGATTTATAGCCATCGATGTATGTGAGCTGAGAATCAGAATACAAATCCAAGGCTAAATCCGCTTTTCCATGCTCCTTTTGAGGGGATCTTTACTTGGAGATAGTTCCGTCGAAAATAACACGATATTGAGCTGATCTTTATGAATGCAGGAGTACCTTAATCTGCAGGTGGAATTTCTCAGTTTTATATTTTTTTTTGCAGCTTTTCGACGCCAAAAGTTTGTGTCTTTATGGCGGCTGAAGGCCATGGAAGCTTAAGATGAAGGCTTGAGAGCTTAAGCAAACCCTGTGTTCTGCGGTTACCAGCAGCGGCCATAGTAATATTATATTACATATTATGTAGAAGTCTTCCAATCTCACTAAAGACAGTTTCTGAAAGAAGTCGCTAGATGCTCTTCCAATGTCCATTTTGGAGCCATATGAAGATAGAGACCACTTCAATGCTTATAACAATATTAAGTTCCCAATCACATCTGCCGGGAAAGTGAAAGAGTTAAAGTCAGCTTCCTCGATATGAATATGATAATCTCAACTACAGCAGAAAGAGTAGGCGTTTCTAGAATGGAAGTTCGGCCCCTGCCAGTAGTAGTTTGTAAGCTATTAGACACTTTAAGAATTGCTTGAGTTTTTCGGAAATTTTTTGAAACTTTTCAATTATTTTTTTTCGATTTTTCAAGTTTAACGATACCTTTAAGTCATAGAGTTATTCATGTAGTTGTATAAACTCCGGACCTTTATTGTTAGTTAAATTTTTTTGTTCTGCAAAAAATTTTGATTTTTTTTTTGCGAATTTTTTAAATTTGTTCAAATATCGGAGTTTATGAATTCTAGAATTCAACTGGTAATTCATTTTCTTTCTTATGTTGGTATAAAATTTTAATGACTTTTTGGGATTTTTCGGTTTAAAAAAAAAATATTTAAATTTCATTAATTCCGGACTGCGACTTCTAATTATTATATTAATTTTTCTTTTAAATATTTTCTAAAATGTTTCTTGGGAATTCTCGGTTTTTTGTTTTTGAGAATCTCAGATTTTATGACTTTCGGCCTTCGCATTTTATTTCCGCCTTCAAAAAAATTATTAAGGCAAAACTAGTCGATATTTCTGGCTTAAAATTATAAGAATAAATAATTTAGTAAATTTTGGAGCTTTTTATTTGGCATGGGCTCTGATAAATATACTTACTTACGTCATACATACATATAATAAAATGTTTACATGTGGATATGTATGTGAGCACTTACGTATGTTTGTATTAACACAAGCGCTGCCTTTCATCAAACCAGCTGAACCTGATCTAAGTGCATGCACGTGTCGCGGTTTCCCATGCCACCCGTGGCAACATATTGCATTTCTACGTTGCTGACAATCTCTAGTGGCTTGTTGCATGTTGCATGTTGTACATTGCATATTGTGCGGTTAGACGCAACACTATCAATACAACACCAAAACACCAAACGGACAAGCAAATGCCATATGATACACAGCCTGTGGGATGTATATATGCGTGTGTGTGTGTATCAGCGAATTGAATACTAAATGCAACATGCATATGAGCAGTAGCAGTATGAACAACAGCAACATTAGCCGCAGTAAACCATGCCAACAACAATAGCTATGCATGGAAATAAAAAACCAGTAGTTAAACAAAATAAACAGCAACAAGCTAACAAGTGTGATGACAGTATGATGCAAAAATCGTCGATTTTATTTTGGTAGCAGTTAAATTAATTTGAAAAAATTCTCTAAATTAAAATAAATTAAATTCGTTAAAATGAAGCACAGTTGCACGGCAATATAATTGGCGCACATACCAATGCATTTACTTATTTTATTTAGTCTCACTCATTGGCATTAATTGTATTTAACCATTTTTGACGGATATTCCCCATAATTGGTTCAAAACGTTATTTAGTTGTAATTAAAATACGAAAATATTGCCGATTTACCATTTTAACCTTCCGCACGCTTGGTGTGATCCGAGAGCCGCGACTAATATTCAAAAGGCCTTAACAGGTCATTAGTAGCTGAAGTCATTTATTCCAAGGAAAAGAAGCTTATATTTCATTTAACTTTCGAGTTTATAAATTTACTTTATAAATATTTATTATTATGAAGCCACAACCTCTTTTAATAGGCTGTAATACGTAGCGTCCAAAGTTGCGGTCTTCTGCACTCCAGCCATCGCCCGACGTTGTTTAGCTCACCAGGCTTACGGAAGGTTAAAAAAGCTTTTATGGAATGCCACACCGCTTGTAAGCGTATCTATTGAACACCGCTTTTTATTAGCAGCAAAATTTAGACGAATAAAAGTCCAATTAACTTTGAATTTTTTAAAAGCCTAAAGATGGCATCGATATACTATTTTTTTAAGGCATTTCGAATATGATAGGCTTTCACAAAATAATAGCCGTGACAAGTGCAAACAATTAAGGTTATAAATATGTGGAATTTTGAAAAAAAAGAATCTGTTATGAAAAATTAAAATAAGCTCCAGGCAAACAAATAACTAAAACTCATTCTATTTATTTTTTTAATTGTCCATATTCCGACCTCAATCTGAAGGCATCAGCCTTCAAAGCATAGTTTACATTGTACGAGTGTATTGTTTGAAAGACTGAAGCAAACTGTCAACGAGCTGATTGAGCCTTGTCAGTGTGGCTCTAGACCTGGCAAATCCACCATAGACCAGGTATACACAATAAGGCAAATCTTTGGAAAAGACCCGCGAGACAAAGAGCGACTTCATACGCGGCGATGTCTGAATTTTGTATGCCGGCGAAACTGGTATAGCTATGTAAAATGACGGTGAGCCACCAGCTCCGTCAGAATTGGGAATAACCGCCCAGAGCCGTTTGCTACCAGACGGGGTTTCAAACACGGCGACTATCTTTCATGTGACATCTTTAATCTGAACTTGCAGATGATAATAAGAACTACAGAACCACTCCGGAACAATTGTTTACAAGAGCGTACAATTCCTGGCGTACACCGATGACATCGACATCATCGGTAACAAAAGCTGCGAAGTTTATTCTGCCTTTTCCAAGTTGGATAAGGAAGCAAATCGAATGGGTCTGGTGGTAAACGAGGACAATATAAAATATCTGCTGTCATCAAGCAAACAGTCAGTGCATTCGCGCCTTAGCATCCACGTCATTGTTGACAGTTATGATTTCGAGAAGGTAGAGAATTTCGTTTATTTAGGTAACAATGATAATAATGTCAGCAAAAAAAAAAACGTATTGCATAATCACTCTTTAGAAAGACTAATTGAAACATCTGCTAAAGAGGAGGTCTTAGCATCTTTCTGTTTCTCTTTTTGCAATTAATTTTATAAAAATAGAATGAAATTTAGAAGATATATACTTTTCTTTTTAAAAAAGAAAACTAAACTAAAATAATAAAAAAAATTAATAGAACATAAATACAAAATTTATAAAATAAGTTTCTAAAAACTAAATCAAATTTAAGAATACATATGTCTTGCTATACAGAACATAAAATCTAAACATAAAAAGAAAATTAAATTGGGAGAAAAAAATTTAAAAATGAGGTGTCGAGCTCGCATCTTTCGAATGGCACCTCGGCCATTGCGACTATTGAGTAGCGCGCGCTAAATGATATACATACATACATCTCCATTTAGAACAAGCTCAAGTGCTCTCTGTCAAAAGAACTTTTCATCATGAAAGTTGACAAGGGAGCTTTTGTTTCTAAGACTTTCGTGCCAGAATAAATAAAACCTTTCAACTGTCTTGCCGACTGTATTTGAATTGTCTTACAAAAGACTTAAAACTGTCTTACCCAAAGTTGTCCTGTATAAATTAAGCAAGGATCGCACGATTTGTACACACCTTTGCCATTTTGTACCATTTTTGGTACATTATTTCCAGTTTGATACAATGGCACATAGCTAACAGATTTGGTAAATTTTTGTATTCTATTAAAACGAGATCATTATACATCATATATTTACTTATTGAAAAGTCTGGCCATTTTGTGAAGGCCAACATGCATACATATCAATCAGGCAAATCTCAGGTAATTGAAAAGACATTGCTGTTAAGCAGATAGACCTTTGTGCGTTCCTTGACAATTCAGCTCCGTATCAAACACACCATACAAGGTGAAATCCAAGGTGATGACAGGAGGTGAGGATATTCCTAATACTCATCCTCGTGATGCTCTGCGATGAAGCCTTACAACTGACTGAAGAATAGTGCTCTGTAAAAAAGCTATCGCCAGAGGCGAGGTATCCCTCAAAAAAAGACAGAAAGTCACATAACAAAGATGGCAAATAATTAAAGGTTAAACATGGGAGATATCCCCCAAATTTACGTCAGCACTGGTCTAGTGGCCAAAAGTCAAGCAAACTGGTTCTGACGCTTGGCAGGCTAAGTCACATTTATGAGCCTGTGCAGCCATTACAGGAGTCATGCGCACCTGCCCTACAAAATCACTGGAAATCATGACAGGTATCCCACCTCTAGCCACACCAATTGACAACGAGGTTTTCGAGGGCGCTTTGTGTCTCAGCAACTTCATGAGAAAAAGAAGTCGAGACTTTCGATAAGCTCCTAATATTTTTAAAACCATTCCTTGAGGATCAAACTCAGAGACAAAATACTATCAAAATTAGCCCTGAACAAGGCCTACGAGGTGACTATTCTTAAAAGTGACACTTGCAGAGTCTGGTAAATTGGTGAATGCATGCTCGAGGATGAAAATGCTGGTGCCAGACAGCACTAAAAGCCCTGGACTTCTTGAAAATTACATCTAGGCATATGGACAACTGAAAAACTCTATTGAACCAATTAAACTAGCACCAGGTGGATACCAGGACATGAGGATTGTGGTGGCAAAGAAAGAGCTAACGGTGTCGACAAACGCAAGTACCAGCACTGTCTATATATGGTGCATAGCTTTTCTGAGCTCCTAAGTGAAAAAGCAATCTAAAAACATTACAACATTCCCCAGAGAAATCTTGGAATGATTTCTGAATTTTAGACGAGAGGGTCTGAGGACTTTCAAGGGCTCTTTAATAGGTTCTGTGACCGGAAAATGTTATGCGATTGTCCACAATAGGTCAATGACTCTATCATGTCGTGGATCGGTTATCGGCTCCATTCAGAATCTGGAACATGACACCCTCTAAAGTGCCAAATTTCATAAGTGGCCTAAGGGTGTAGTGAATTTTTATGTAACCAGTTCACTAGATATGTTTACGTCGCATTTATTTCCTCAAATAATAATTACAAAAAAAAAAACTTTTTGGGCATTATTACAGAGAATCTAACTTAATAAATTTATATTCCAGCATTATAGAATAGTTCACAAAACACTCGAAAAATTCGCTAATTTAATATTTCCCCAATATGTATTTGGAAAATATTTGAACAATGAAATACATAGATAGAACATATTTTGGTAAATTTTTTACATTGTGGTACTCTTTATGGTACAAAAAAAAAAAAGAAGTAAGTGGCAACCGTGTTTGTACATTTGTACATTTTGGCAGCCATAGAGTGGTTTTATACAGAAGTTTGTATCGAGAAAGAGTTCAGCTCAAAATCTAGATAAATGTACAAATCTTGTGATCCCAGATTTAGTCACTATTTATGTGACTTTCAACAATGTGTGGTGAAAACTAACAGCGGCGGTCAGCGCTCGTGGTGCTCCAACAGCCGCTATGGTCGAGTGCGCCAAGCACTAGGGTGCCAAACGAGAGATCCTAAGTTCGAACGCACGGGCAGCGGAGTTCTTTTTCTTCCAAAGTATTTAGGTCAATTTCTAATAAAATTTTTTGTTAAACAAAATCTTCCTCGCATCATTTTCTAGCTTTTTAGAGTAAAATCGAAAGGGCCCGCTGACAAATGAGTGAATTAATTTTCATACTTTCCTTTCAATTCGCATGAATTCTTAATTTATAATATGCGTACCTAACAGAGTAGAGAATTTCGCTAAAGAAAAACAATTTTCACAAATTCTGAAATATGCTGTTCGTCGCCGTGTATCGATTAAATTCTAAAAAATGCGTTGGACTAAACATTTCTGATTTAAAACGTCTAAACACACAAATATATGTACATACGTAATACACACATAAATGCTTCCACGTGAATACAAATATATGTATGTATGTATATACATCAAGCACATGTATGTATGTCCAAAACTTTCGAAATAACTTTCCCATTGTTCCCGCAATGAAACGAGCAACAGCAGTGCTCTAAAATATTCATTATTATTGTAAGTTTTTGTCATGAATTTCCCATGAACCGGAAATGGATCAATACAAAATGCATTTATGAAATCATTTTACATTTTAAATGCTTGACATTCAATGTTGGTTGCCACGTTGCTAAAATCACTTATAAATGAAAATTTGATTATGTGTTTTTTTTTTTTGCAAATCTTTTGATTTCATTATAAATGGTCATAAATGTCATACTCTACAAATACATAATATTAGCAGTAATAATATTAGCATACAAGCATACATTCATGATGCTATTAATTTAATATAAGCCGCATGACATTGAACTGATTGAATTGATTTGACGTGAACAGTTTTGATATTTAAGTACATACATACAATATGCACATATGTATATCCCATTTTTAATTCCCAAAAAGTTTATAAAGAAATATGTCTGTGTTCGTATGGAATAGTAGCTTATGTCGAAAGGCTAGCTTTCGTGATTTATTCTAAACTTTTCCAAAACAAATGGTACAGGTCGTTGGAATAATTCCTGTTGAGAACGCTCTCGATAGTTTCGTTCTCACTTTCGGGTTTGTGAAAATACTCCAGAATGTTTTGTTCTCATTTCGGTTTGGATTTTGAATGTTCTTGGGAAAAAAACTACGAAACGATGTCTACTATACTTTCGATCATACCTGTATTTATCTGGTTACGAAACTAATAATTTTTCCTTTCATTTCAGTGATCGCCTACAATGGCTCCTACTTGACCATATCGAAGGTGAAACGTTTAAATATGGGCGCATACTTGTGCATCGCTTCAAATGGCATTCCACCAACGGTCAGCAAGCGAGTAATGCTAATTGTGCACTGTGAGTATATACACTACATATGTATATGTATTAGGGTAGGAATGTATAAATGTATACGACTCATAAATGAATAAATTTATAAAGCATTTAAAAAATGCATACTAACAAATTGTTATTAACATAGTTGTACGTGCATATGTATAGGGTAAATACATATTTATGCATGTACATATGTGTGAATGAGTGAAGGCATGCACATTATGGTGGTCGAAAAATGCATGTGAAAAAGTAAAGTCGAAGTTTTTATGCTCTCACCAACTAGGATTATTCTATACCGAAAAAATATACGCCTATTTTTATAGCCGAGCGCACTTGTGCACAAGGATATTATAACTTTGTTCACATTACGGTTATTTATAACAGCCAAAACCAATCGAGATAGATATAAACAAATATATACATACATGCTCAGAATGAAAAAAGAAATATATTATTCCGTCCGTCCGTCGGTACACACCATAACTCGATTAAAAATGTATATATCTTAACGAAACTTCATAAGTGTACTTCTTTTGAACGTAGGACGGATGGTATTGAAAAACCAAAAAAAAATCGGATACCATCCACGCCCACTTCCCATATAACGGTATTTTCGAAAAAGGCTAAAACTGCAATTATTCAGTAAATACTATTACGTCCAAGTTGTTGAAAACTTGTATTGGAAGTATAATTTGGGTACAAAAAATACTATAATGAAATTTTTGGAAAATTTGAACGCTTTGAGCGACCTCTAAATTTTTTTTTTATCTCAAAATAAAAAGCATAAATGTATATATTTTTTTGATATATATGTATATAACAATCCAAGGGGGTGAGAGCATTAAAATTCCGACTTTACTTGGACCACCCTAATGTGCATACATACTCATACGTATGTAATAAGGGCGCATGCAGTTAATTTCATTTGAAATTTAATTAAAACCGTATTGCTTTTGCGATGTTGGCAGGTCGGTATATCGAAAAGCTACATATCTAATTGAGGGGGCATATATGTATGTAGTGCAATAATTGCATGAGCATGGGGTAGAATGAGGAGTATAATTACTTTTTAGCTAAAGCTATTTAATGGCTACGACAACTCATTTGGTAAACACCTACTAAGTGTAGCCAGAAGCTTTCTTGTTAGTTTACGTTTATTGCTAGAGCTTGCTGGCAAATTTTTAAATAAATTTTCCAAAGTCATTTCTTTTTTTTTTTTTTTGTGAAGAATATTCCAATAACTATCGCAATAATTTCATTCAGGCTCTGGTGCATATCTAAAATAAAAATTGGTGATCAATTTGGTAAAGCCGAAATTTTTTGTAGATGTCTTTCGAGTGAAATTGATATGCCGATAAATTGCTTAGGCCGGAAGATAATCCATACGGATCCATAATCTACGACCCAATAGTAAGTTTACGTGTGTCGGCGTTTTTTGTGTCAATACCAGAGATCGAAAATAACCGTCACTAAGTGTCTCGTATGGTGTTTACCACTGACACAAACACTCATCTCTCAAGCAAAGAGTTTTTCTCACCGTGGCAAATCAGTCTGTGCGATCTTTATGTGCTTTCCGTTGTGGGTTATTTATTATTATTTATTATTAGGCTTCCCAAGGGAAATTGGGCAAAAACACTTTGGCAGGGACTTATATTTTTAAGTGTCTTAATTTGTGGGTTATTGTAGGACTGAAAACTATAAGTGGGCGTAATAAGTGGAAACAATGCGTTAGGCATTTCATTACACGACATATACATACGTGCACATATGTTCATGTGCGAACATTTATGACAAAGAAAACAGCGTGCACATCCTTAATACGATACACCAAAAATAAGCTATTTTATTTTATTGATAAAGAAAAGTATAAAGGCAAAGGTAAAAATAAAAATAAAAATAAAAACAAAAACAAAAATTAAGATCAAAGTAAATTTAAAAACTTTACTAATATAAGGGCAAAGGTGAAGGGGAATATGTAGATGTAGTAAATGATAAGCATAAAGATGATAAAGATAAATATTAAGAAAAAGATGAGGATGAAGATAAAGGAAGAAAGATTAAAATAAAAGTAATTATAAAGCAAGTGATATAGTCACAGAGACTCAACCTGGGAACTAGGAATGTTCGATATTTAAGAAAGAATCGATATCATGAATCGATTTAATTCATTTCCATAGTCCAAAAATCCCGAAACAGTCCACAAATCCCGAGGTGGTCCGGAAGATACGATAATCCCGAAGAAGTCAGGAAAATCACGGATTAGTCCCGAGGATCCCGAAAATTCCAAAGTAGTCTCGAAAATTCCGAAATAGACCAAAAGTCCCGAAGTATTCCCGAAGATTCCGATAATATCGAAGAAGTCTTGAAGATCCCGGATTTGTCGCGAGGATCCCAAAGTAGTCTCGAAAATCCCGACGACGTCTCGAAAAATCCGAATTAGTTCCGAGGATCCCGAAAATCCCAAAGTAATCTTGAAAATCCCGAAATAGTCCAAAAACCCCGAAACAGCCCGAAAATCCCGAAGTAGTCTCAAAAATCACGAAGAGTTTTGTAGAACTGGAAGTTGAAAGATACTTGAATATCTTATTCGCGTTGAATCACAAAAGTATTATTTAATTGAAAAATAACAAATCAAATTCATTCGCTCTACAAATTAAATAAAAAATGTTTATTTCTTCTTTGGTTGACAAATCAAACGACAAATAAACTTTATTTTTTATTTGGTCAACAAACCAAATCACAAATCAAATATATCTCTTAATTGATAGCGGATTTTAAATCAATAAGGATTTAAAAGCACGCAACCCTGCCACCGCATGACCATGACATTGACGTTGCTTACATCTCTCTCTATCTCTATCAACAGCAAACTTGATATATTTCTACACACTTCTACGGTACCGTGCGTACACATTCGTGAGTAACCGCGCTTAACTAACACTTATTTTTCCTCTTCCAGCGATAAGTGTCCATGTCCAACAGCAACGGAAAAAGATATGCAAATAACCCTTTCCCACTGAGAGGAGCACACATCTACAAAAAATAAATCACCTGTTCTGTTTTGTGGGTTATTTTTTCTCTTAAATAGGGACGGTTATTTTGGGACACTTTCAAAGTGTTGAGGGATATTTTCGACCTCTGGTCAACACAAATATAATACATGGGAAACTGTGAGCGCTTTGAACGACCTCTAAATAAATTTTTACTTCAAAATAAAAATAAAACGGTGTACCTATATTTTTTCACTATAAAACATTTCGTCACTACACACGAATAAAGGCGCGATAGTGTTTTGACGGCGAAAATAGGCGCGTAAAAAAATTTTGCGAAAAAAGGTGCTTATGAAAAACTTCGGCGAAGTATGTTAAGAGTCCTTGACGCTAAGGTTTTTTATGCGTCTTTTTTCGCCGTCAAATTTTGAGCTCGCGCCTTTATTCTTGTCTAGTGACGATTTCCAGGTGGTGAGAGCATTAATATTCGGACTTAACATTTTTTTTTTTTTACCACCCTAATGTACATCTTTACGTATTGCATAAGTGTAAATATTAGAAAATTTCTTGCTAACTTCTTCCACCCTGGAAGTTTCTCCACTAAGTTTCACTTCTTCTGCGCGTAGGGACTACACGCATTAAGTTTTTTTTTTTTTCCAAAACAACTTGCAATTTAAAATTTTAGCTTTAGGAAAAAACTAGTTCCCATTTTTCGTTATTTTCTCTTTAACCTTGCACACACAACAATACATTTTGAACTCACCAACCTCAATATTAACATAAAAAAAATATATATTTTCATTTAAAATTTTCATAATAAACGCGCGAAATTTTGTTTTCCACAAGGTTGTTCTGTGACAAAAGAAAAACATAGAAAGCTGCTGTTGTTACTGCCGTTACACTGCTGTGTATTGCTACCTACAGCTGGAGTTGCATTTCCTCACCACTTGTCATGCATCGCCCATTTTGCTTTCGCACACTTGAGTTTCATTGAAATTCTATTACACACACAAACAAAACTGCATACAGCGCTGCCATAACTTCAGTGCCAAAGTGTCGCAACCGTAATAACAACAACAATAACCAGAGCAAACAATAATTGTAATAACAAGCAATATTATAGTGTGGTGCGGTGAGTGTAGTGTTTTGTTGCACAACCGCGTTGCATGGCTACGTTTGCTTGCCGCTTTAATAGAATTTGCCGTCGCCTCTACAAACACACACACACAAATATAAAAATTTTTGCATGCATATAAACGTTGTTTGCTACCAACAAAAGGGCATTCAGTTCTAGCGAGTAAACATCGACGCGCTGATATGCCACGCAGGGCTGCCAACTATGCATAGCTATGAAGTGCCATATTGAGGATTAAAAAAGTGCCAATTAGCAAAATAAAATTGCCCAAAAAGGTGTATTTTTTTTTAGTTCTCCCCATTCAGCATTCAAATTAAAAACACATTCCTACAACAAAATTCCAATGCCAAAGTAAGACGAACCAGTTGTATATACTATAGAAATTAGGAAATTTTTGTTGAGAAAAAGAAGTACTCCGCAGAGGATTTCAAAACTATGTATTGAAATATTACTATTGGTGCCAAATTGAAAAATTAAGTGCCATTTGAAGTAAAATAGGGCCAAAAATGCCACGATTTTAGCCAAGTTGGCAACCCTGATGCCACGCCTGTTTGCTTGCACTTGGCCAACGACAACTTACACGACCAGCTGACAATGCGGCTGCCTTTTACGCCCTACTGCAATTGTTAGATACATACATACATACGTAGGTATGTATATATTAGCATACTTGTATCCATGTGTGGGTACTTCCTCTTTGTTTTGTGGCTGCGAAATGTTTGAAAAACTTGCTGCCTCTGCGCTATTTTTCTACGCTTCACTTTTAATTCAATTTTTTCCTTGAAAGTTTTTTGCGCTCCTTAATTGTGTTTTTATTAACTGTCTGCAATTATGCAACCACCATACACATAAGAATCGTGTAAGCGCAAACAAGTCGATTCACAACCGACCCTTAG